TAGTTTTCAAAGCTGCTGGTTGAAGATATAATGAGAAGATCTGAGTTTTATGCATGAATCAGCATCCCCTTGTCATAATGTCATGGTGCAGTGATCCCTGCAGAGCTGTAAGACTTGATTTAAAATGGTAATGCTCAACACCCTCTTCAGCCAGCAGGATTAAACTTCCAAGATCTTGCATATATTAGGTCTGTGCTGAGATTACTATATGAATAACTTGTTACTATTATTGAGCTCTTATAGCACCCTATGGGAAACCTCTTTGCTTTTAGGGTAAAAATATGTATACATAAAATATCACTTACTGTTTGCTGGTCAAAAGATTAATAGGAAGGTATTTGTGTCACCTCACTTTAGTGATTTTATCTTTTGATATCAATTTGCATCAAGATACATTTCTGATATCATTGGTTGTGGAAGATATCTTCAGTTAGACTGAGCTTGCTTATGTTGTGCTAAAGGACTGTTTCATTTTTCTCAACAATCTCTGGTTTTACATTGTGACTCACTTGCAATACTCTAACTTCATTCCATTTGTTAGAAGCCAAATGATCCCAAATATCAGTTTGTGTTACACTGAAATGGTGGACTGATTTTCATCGTTCCTGTCTGTATTACCATCATATGAATTGCTCTTTTGTAGCAGTTGGCTGAGTCCAGTCCATTTTTCTTGTAAGGATTTTTGTTAGTGAGAACCATTCATACTCACACTTTCTAAAATAAATGTTCATCCAATGAGTAAAAGTTGCAGCGTCTCTATGAAAATCATAAGCCAAATCCTCAGATGTTATCAATCAACATTAATTCAATGGTGTTGCTGGATTAACACCAGACTGCTTGAAAATCTGGTCGCAAGCGTTTGCAGAGGCCAGAACTAACAATTTGCTGTGTGTCAGCACACTGCTAGTGTAACCACTATCACCCAGAATAGCACTACATAAAAAGCCTTCCCATCCTTTTAGTGTAGGTATCCTTTGGCCATCTTCAAATGAGGATATGCTTATTGGGCTGTTGCTTGCTTTAACCCCTTGCCATTGGTTCATGAGCTTTGCCTCCTTCCTTTTCATGAGGGCTTGGGACCTAGTTTAGAAGTAACACTTTACATAGTTTTAATTTGTGAATCAATTTTTTAAAACACAATTTAACTGCATTTAATAATAAGTTGGATTTTGACTTAAATACATTTTGAGCAGAAGAGATCATGTCTTGATTCTCCTTTAACTCTTTCTTTTGAGCATGCTTTGCTTACACTGTCTTGTATCTAATGTGTTTGGGTTTTGTGATATATGTGAGTGTTAACTTCTGGTGTATGTTTCTGTGGCAAAATAATCTTGCATGTCTACATTTAAAACTGTATATTATTTGTGGAATAAAACTTCTGATCTCTTCTACATACCTGTTTCAGGTAGTGCTGAACAAAGAGTTGTAAATACTGTTTGCTTGTTGGTTACCTGTTGTTGGGAATAGTCTGCCACCTGCTGGAGGCTATGAAGTTTTTTGTAATATCTTTTATTGGACCAGCTATACAGTTGGGAGAGATGCTGTCCAAGCTTCCAGGCACAATGCGTCCTTCTTCAGCCTTGTCCAACATCTCTCCCAACTATACAGCTGGTCTATTAAAAGAGATCACTAAAAAACTTTGTATCTTGTACTTTTCCTAGACCATTACAGCTACAATAACATTTCACACCCCTACAACCCCATGAGTGATATTTTTGTCTTCGGTTTGTGAAGCTATTCATAAAGGTTCAGAACTATATGTTCAAAAGGGAGATGTAGAGTTTCTAGCAGTTGGGGAAATATTTTATTTTCTCAGTTACTTGAATAATTATTCTTAACAGTAAGTGGCTCCTAATTTTGCTTTAGGTATTTGGGTCACTGATTTACTTTTACTTGGTTAAGGTATGGCTTCAGCTGTCATTGTCTCCTCCTGAACAATATTAATGAACTGGCTATGGTCAATTTTCCAGAAAGAGTTTTCCATTTTAGTTCTGTTTCACATATAACACTCTTTGTGGGCCACTTTGAGAAAGAAAGCTAGGAATCAACCAGCTTCAGAACCTCAGTACTCAGTCAAGAACAAAATGCAGGAGACAAGAAAGTGAGTTGTCTTGTTTGGCATGCCCATTTCTGAAGGATCATTGCTGACATAAACTGGTGAATTATCTGATTCATCACATATTTGTCTTCAATACCATCAAACCTTTCTTAGAAAGATATTAAAGAAATACTAAACATATTACTGGCAAGTGCTTTATGAATCAACATTGTTGCTAGACTAAATTGTTAGGACATAGTACCCACTCTTGTTTTACTCAATTTAGCATATACCAGAAGGGACTGTGCTGGCTTTAACACAGTGTTCTTCAAGCTGCTTGAAAATTCATTCGACATGATTCACACATAGAGATGAAAGAAAAAGGAAAACCTTCTGCATGGGCAATATTACTTGCCTAGTAAAAACTATACTGATTTCAGTGCTTTTCATAAAATCTATACTGGTCATCTAAATATTGTAGGATTATAATGAAGGACGATGATGAATTTCAAGAATGAGTCAGGCAAAAACATTTAATGTGGTTCAAAGGAAGTATGATTCCCCTACTTTCTGAAGAAATTAGAAGTAGCCATGTTTGCCATTAGCAGTTGCTATCAGTAGGAAAAAAATCCCTGGTGCAATCTCAATGAAAGCACATTAAATTAAATGAACTCATGAGTGTAGAGGAGTAAGAAAACATAGAAAGACCAGTCATTCAGGTCACACTTGAATTTTTCCATGATAAGAATTTTAAGGGACATCTCAATTCACTTGACTAATCCCTAGCAAAATGTCATGCAAATACTATCCTGGCACAGTATAAAGTCCTTGGAGTCTCCTGTGCTATTTGATGACCTGAGAAATCATCAATTAAACAAATGCAGGCATTTTTCCCACATTAGTGCAATAGCTAGTGTTCTGCCTTGTTCTGACTGGCTACTTGTTCCAACCATGTCTTTTCCTTGCTTGTGTATGATACCTCTTCTCCCACCCTCCCTCTTTTGTCTATTTAGATTTTAAGCTCCTAGGGGTAGGAACCAGCCATCCCTTTTCAACACTTAGCACAACTGTTCTCCAGTCTTTATTGGCCCTCAAATACTAACATACCAAATGTGATTAAGAATTATGCAACATTATGAAAGAAGCTGGCTGTTAGAGGAAACCTGTGTCCTTGCCAGTCATTAACACCCTTATTCAAAGTATCTCAAATATCTTACCCTTCAAAGGGAAGAAGAGTTTCCTTTCCATGCTACTTTGTTTCTGGAATAGAAACTTCATTGTGGTAACATATTAGATTTTGTTTCTTTGTTTGTTTGTTTGGGGGCTTTTTTTGTCACATGAAATCAGGGCCATCAGTGTCCTGAGCTGACACCTGTATTTGTTGCTTGATTGTCCTTGCAAAGTGTGTCTCTGCAGAGTTTTCATTTTCCCTGAGTGCAAGCCTCAAGGCCTGAGAATATATAGCTTTTTTTTCTTCGGGTTTTCATTCTCTACATGGGCAATACTCAGGTCACTTTGGGACCCCTGGATTTAACAGCTGATCATACAATTTCTGTTATTTAAAAATGTCAGCTTCCCCTCAAAATTAGCATTACAAATTGCACCTCTACTGGTATGGATCTGAGGGGATTTTTCTAGTTAGGCCATCCCTTCACCTTTCTTCATTTTGAAGGTGTTGTGCCACAGTCAGGTGACACCAGGCCTTATCTCCCCAGCCAGGCTGAACACTCATAATTCATTCCCGGAACAAATTTTAAAAAGACTTTCTCTCTTTCAAGCCTCTACAACAGCTTTTAGCAATCCTCCCATATTAAAGCAATGAAAAATGTCGCCTTCCAAATACCCTTGGTAATTGGACAGTGGCATGTGTGCATGGGTATAATCACCTTAGATAAGGTTTGCTAATCAGTCTGGAGCATACATAAATCATGGCAAAGGCCTTTATAAAAATGTCTCTCTCTTCCCACTGATCTGGGGCTAAAAGCTTGAGGCCAGCTTTCCTGACCTGCCCTAGTCCGTTTGTTTTAGATGTTTTCCAGCCTCTTTTCTTTGGTTAAGGGGGAAAAAACCCAAAAGGAAACAAAACCAAAAAAACAAACAAACAAAGGGAAGGAGCAGTGTCTTTTTTCCCCCCCTTCCCCAGTGATTTTCAAAGGAAATTCGTGATGTCGGGCCTTGAATCTGAGAAGAGCAGTCCAAGAGGCTGCTCCAGAGGCATGCAGTGGGGTGGCTTGTAGGGGGGGCTCCCCCCCACCTCTGCTCTTCCTGCTGTGCATCCCCACCTGCCCCTCGCCTATCGCCTGCTCCCGCTGCAGACCTCCCGGGATCGCTCCAGATGCAACCCGGGTTGCGAAACCGGAGAGTGAGAAGGAAACGGGGAGGGATCACGGCTGCCCTGGCCTTGCAGGGTTGGGGGGACGGGGTAGGGAAACCTCCCAGCTTGCCGAAAGCAAGCAAGGCTGGCCTCCCGGGGGGAGCCGGAGGATGTCAGGCAGGGACCCAACGCTTTCGACAGGCTGTCGGCCGAGGCGCCGCTCTCCCCGCAGCCCTGCGCTCCTCTCGCCGAGACTCGGGGGAGGGGGCGAAGGAAGGGGGAGGGAAGGGGCAGGGTGCTGGAATATGGAGAACCGGGGAAAATGGCTGATGCGCAGCCAGCCAGCTACCGATGCTCGGATCCAGGCGGATCTCCCCGGTCCCCCAGCCCCGGAGCCGGCGAGCAGCGGAGCCCCGCGGGCGGTGCGGTGCGGTGCGCTGCGCTGCGGCGGAGGAGCGCGGGGGCTCCGGGCTGCGCGGGGGGAGCGGGCGCGGACCGGAGCCGAGCAGCCGGGCTTATGTAATGGATGGAGAGGGCAGGGGAGGAACCATTTGCAACCTGGCCCGGCTGCACGGCAGGCGCTGGGGAAGGCGGGAGGGAGGCGGGCAAGGCGAGCGGCGCCTTGCCCGGCCCGGGCGCGGTACTCACAAGCGTTGGTGACGGCGAAGCTGTTGGCCACCTCCAGGTTGTCGATGTGGGGCGTCAGCCTGAACTCCGAGGTGGAGAACTGGACCATGCCTACCCGGAATGCGCTGTACTCCTGATCGGCGCCCCTCGGGAAGAGCCCCCCTGCGGGCACACGGCACACCGCGCCAGCCCGTCAGTGCCCCCGGGGCAGAGCAGAGCAGAGCAGAGCAGAGCAGAGCAGAGCCACCCTCCATCCCGCCACCCTTCCGCAGCCCACCCCACCACCCTACCCCAT